CTCATGGTTTATCGTTGAGCTATGAGTTCCTCACTGATTATTTGTGTCCCTTATTTTGCCTCGCTGAAGGTGGCAACCCTAATCCTGTCTAGATCACACAAACAAAGTAAAAAGATCATAAAATCAGTAGTCTTGGAATGACTCTTATCCAAATGCAACAAAATTCACTAGGTCTTATTCTTTGTAGCAATTGTTAATCTTATCTCTCTCTAAAAGTAAGACTACAATCAGAGAGCTGGCACAGCAAGTAACCAAGGTTTTTCCTGACAACTGCAAATATTCACTGTCATCAGTTTGGTTCATTATCAATGTGCACAGACATCACAATGGTCCCCATGGTCATATAATGTGACAGCAATAACAGCAATACATAGAAAATCTCAGTGGAGCTCTTCTATCTACACACCAGCCTCCACAATCACCTGTGGCATCACACCATTATTATTATCACTCAGTGAAGCAGAGCGGGGTCTAGCGTTCTCTAGTTCCACATAATCGTGATGGATGCACTGGGGCAATGCACCCGATAGCTCCCTTCTCCCATCAGCACACATTCTCCTAATCACTTCAGACACCAAGATGCTCAAGCCAGTCACGCCTAATAACCCAACTAGAAATAGATGATGCAATGTTGCCTCTCTCTTCTGTGAGTGAGTATCAAGCAGTGATTGCTGTATGCAGTAGGAAAAGTCATGAAGCTTTGCTTTCCTCAGCTTGGATTCAGTCACTTTATTATTGCAGCCGTTGGTGCATTAGGTTACAGTCCATTGCACTGCAGCATATCAATGCCATAACCCAACAAAACTCATAGCTGCTCTCCTTGTACACCCAACTGCTCTGCTTGCATCTGCTGCTGCCTAAGCCTGGATGATCTTTACGGTTTATATCAGAGTTCAATCCAATTAACCTTCAAGCTGCAAACATCGGAGACTTTCGGTTAACCCTTATTTTAGCGTGCAGGCATGGGGTGTGGGAAAATTCAGACAAGGAAAGGTTAATCTAAGCCTCACGATTCTGAGCAGAGGACTGCACCTGCAGAGCCAGAGCTGGAAATGGATAGTTGATAGCATGCGGGAGTTGATAGTAAGAGAGCCATAAGAGCAGAGTGCTTAATCTAATTAATCTAATATTGCTGACTCATTTTCTTTACATATGATCTTTGCTCTAGACCACGTAGTGTGCACAGGACAGTATTTTTAAACCTTTACTCAGACCATTATAGAGATATATACATGGGGTTTTTAGAGAACCCAAGGAAATTTAATTAGGGAATTAGCTTGGAAAAACACAGCATTGCTTTGAATCAAGTATGATGCCACTTTAAGACTTTTTTCTACCCATATGAGTCACTATTATGAATGTATAATTTTTTCCCCTGTATCAAACTAACACAATGTTTCTAGAAAAGTCACATTTTCTTGTCTACTTTTTGGAAAAACACAAAAATGCAGCTTCAATGATTTCTGCCTACTGCATTTTGATTAAGCCAGAGTAAATTAATATAATGGAAACAGACAAAGGAAAATGATTGAAAAATAATTACAAAATTATTCCCTGGAAGTTGTAAAATGAAGGTTGATTAGTATTGACTTTACCTTGATTTCACTTGTTTTACATAACATCTGAGGCACTTAAAGATGCACTGCCACAAAGCATCAGACATTTTTACATTACAAACACTTTTCAGACTCCTTTTCCATCATGATCAATAAATGCATGAAAAGCAGTGGGTGGTCAAATATGATTTAGCAGATGTGATGCATTACAGATTCCTGGAAGGTATTTGGGTTTTACGCCGTTTTGTGTAATGACAAGAGTCAAGACAGAGACTAAGTGGCGTTGTGTCCTTGGTATATGTGGGGCAAATAGCAGTAAGTCCCAGAGAACGCATTCTGCTTCTCTCTGGCAGTCTGTACGTGCTTGTGTTGGTCGGAGATTGATCGCTCCCCTCTCTCTCCCTCCTCCATGCCCTCACAAAGAATCAAACTGCTTGACCGGCCAAAAAAAAAAAAAAGCAGATCCTTCTCTCTCTCTCCCTTTCTTTTTGTAAGGCTTCATACATATCCATGATGGAAACAGACAAAGGAAAATGATTGAAAAATAATTACAAAATTATTCCCTGGAAGTTGTAAAATGAAGGTTGATTAGTATTGACTTTACCTTGATTTCACTTGTTTTACATAACATCTGAGGCACTTAAAGATGCACTGCCACAAAGCATCAGACATTTTTACATTCCAAACACTTTTCAGGCTCCTTTTCCATCATGATCAATAAATGCATGAAAGCAGTGGGTGGTCAAATATGATTTAGCAGATGTGATGCATTACAGATTCCTGGAAGGTATTTGGGTTTTATGCCGTTTTGTGTAATGACAAGAGTCAAGACAGAGGCTAAGTGGCGTTGTGTCCTTGGTATATGTGGGGCAAATAGCAGTAAGTCCCAGAGAACGCATTCTGCTTCTCTCTGGCAGTCTGTACGTGCTTGTGTTGGTCGGAGATTGATCGCTCCCCTCTCTCTCCCTCCTCCATGCCCTCACAAAGAATCAAACTGCTTGACCGGCCAAAAAAAAAAAAAAGCAGATCCTTCTCTCTCTCTCCCTTTCTTTTTGTAAGGCTTCATACATATCCATGATAATGTTTTTAACTACACTTCCACGTTTATATTTTCCAATTGAATCACAGCATGTTTTTGTGGTGCTGATGAGCTTGTCTGACTCATCATTTTTAATGAACAAAAAGTCTCCTGAGACCATCAGTTTCTCAACTCTAGTGTAGCAGCACCAATTAAACAGTGCAAGCTGTGATTATGTCAAGTTACACAAGTAACCTGAGACGATCCTTCTCTCTCTCCCTTTCTTTTTGTAAGGCTTCATACATATCCATGATAATGTTTTTAACTACACTTCCACGTTTATATTTTCCAATTGAATCACAGCATGTTTTTGTGGTGCTGATGAGCTTGTCTGACTCATCATTTTTAATGAACAAAAAGTCTCCTGAGACCATCAGTTTCTCAACTCTAGTGTAGCAGCACCAATTAAACAGTGCAAGCTGTGATTATGTCAAGAGATTTGGCAGAGTGGCCTTCGCTGCTCTTCGGGTCACTATTGGAAACAGGAAAATGAAAAAGAAAAGGAGTAAAAGAGAGGGAGAACTAAAAGGAAAGAGACGGAGGGAGGTTGTTCTAGAGTAGTTCATGCTGTACAGTGGTTTGTCCAGCATCTAATGAAAGCACATGGCAACCTTTCCCGACAGCTTTGTGTCAGGCTTTCAGTTCTGTACCACAAGGAATCTCACCGCAGTCGTTTTTCTATTACTCAACCCTTTTTGCTCATGAGAGAAGGACTACGATCCCCTTGGACTATTCGCTTCCAGCCCAGGCTATACTTCCATTCGGAGTGTGTGCGATTGTGTGAGCATGTGTGTACCAGTCTATCCATCCACTCTCCGAACCGCTTATCCTACTGTATGTAGAGTCACGGGATGTGTTGTATAAATAGCATTTAGAGATCATCACTGATAGATTTAGAAAAAGGCAAATCTTAGTAAATGTCACCCTTTTTTATTTCTCTGGACACACGGCCGGTCACATGTTCACTGTTCACTGAGGGAGATAAATTGCATTCAGGTAGAAGAAAGAAGACGCAAGACAAAATTCCACTTAAAACTGGGTACATTTTACTGTAAAACATGTTAGGAAACATTTCCAGTGTTCATTGCTGTGAAACAAAACAGTTGTACAGCAAACTACCTTCCTGAATACAACGTCTCATAGTAAATACTGTGAACACTGAGCTAAAGAGATAGAAACTAGGAGCTTATGCTCGGTCCTTTAAAGTAGTAAATTGACAAGATGAGCTAATTTGCTTAAGAAATATTACCCATTTAACTGAACTAATCACTATAATGTCATACACTGTATTTGGCAATGTAGCTAGCCAGACTAAGAAAACCATACATGTGTACTATCATCACTCTTCAAGACTTTCTAGATATTGTAATAGGCTATTTAAAGTATTATTTATCATTGCTACTGACAATGCTTAAAAGTGATTCGTTTCACCCGTTAGGCTTTGCAGAAATTAAAAGACACACTGCAAGTGTGCAAAAACATATTTCTCTTAAAAACACCATGAGCCAAGGAGTCTAATGGCGCAATCATGAAGCTATCAATCATTCAGCATTTAATCTAATCAACCACTCCATATCAAACAGCAGGACACCAGCTTAGATAACATCAACTAAAATATTGTTTTTAAAAGCTGGGAAAAAATGTTACATATGAAGCCGTGTAACAGTCCAGACATGAAAAAATGATATCTTGGTGTAATAATCAGGCTCCTGGAGGCATTTTCTATTCCCAAGCAGGTAACACCTCAAAACCATACCAGAACCATTTGAACATTCTGTCGATGTTTCTCAAATTCTCTTTAATATCAACATATCAGGATTTCAGGTTTGCTTTACAAACTCCAAAGGGAACTAACTGTAATGCATATCAGTGCCTTATTGGTTTTAAAGTTGACCAATTATTAGTTTGAATTAGCATCACAATAATCATTTAGTTTAACTGCTTCATATCGAGATCATGAATAATTTGTACAGTCAACAGAGAGAAACTGCCTGAAGCCTTCAAATATTATTGCCCAGAGCTCAATGACATCTCATATGTCTCTCTCCATTGTGCTGCAAAGCCAGTGGCCATGGTAAAAATGAAACGGATGCTGCTGGAAACATAAACAGCATACAAAGGTATTCAAACAGCAGCATTCTAGAAGCAGTACAGTGTGTCCTAGAAACAAAGCAGCTCATGTTACAATGTCTATTGCTACAGGAGAGATACACAAGGATGGATTAGTTAGGAATGAGACACTCCTGCATGTTTCCACCAACTCTCCTTTCATTTCCTAAAACATGACGCATAACAATGAATATATGAAATGACTTTCTAATGCATGACACAATCAACACGAGGCCATACGGCATACACTAAACATCTTCTTGCAAGAGCAGGGGGGTCTTCACACCTGACATGCCAAAGACCTTTCCGCCAATCCAGATGGCTCCATGATCCTCAGAGCTCTTGCTGAGTCCTTATGGTTCTCATGTGCCATTGGCTCAATCAGTGACAACACACAAGAAATCAAATGCTATGTTCTATTACACCCATAGATCATATTCATACTACCTAGCAATTTGACAATCATTTTAGCATTATAGCATACAACGACTTGATGTGATTACATGAGTTTAAATAAGTTTGGATAGCAAAATACAAAGCCATATCGAGACATGCAATCGTCTGAAGCGGTCGGGCTGTTTTGATTTGATCTAATCAGAACACACTCGTTCCCTGATGGCCCTACATATACAGAGATTTTCAGGGCGTCTGCATGAGTGGTCAGAGATGAAAAGAGATGTACAAGGCAAACACAGATGCATCCTTCACATCTCAGTGCCCCTGTCCGCATCTCTAAAGCTAAAACACACTCACAAACAGATATGCGTGATTCTTCACATGCTCTCATAACGGTAAATTTCAACTAGAGTTTTATGCTCTAAATATAGCAACATTAGGGATCTTTTTCCTGTTTGCTTCCATTGAATATTGCAATGCATACTAATTTTTGTATTATTACCCCAGAAAGACTAACCACATTGCACTTTTTCAATCTGGCAGCTTTTTATGAAATGCTATAGACGCTGCTGTTTTGCACTTATACATCCACTCGTGATGATTAAAGATTACAACTATCTACTGTTTTATCTGTTTGGTGCATCCAAAACACACCCACACACCAACTAGAGCGATTCGTGAACATTTTCCTCCACAGAGAACCACTTTAAAGACTAAATGTACTATCCTGTATACTATGAAAAAAAACTAATCTTGATATTCAAAACAGGATCACAGTAACACTTAAAGAGAAATATTGCAGATACAATTGCACTTTGACTTATCAGAAATGGAAAATGATCAGTTATCCTCCACCTACAAAGAAAACACCACAAAACAGAGCTCGACATCACGTCAAATACTTACAGACGCATAGGACAAACAAACAGTAGGAGAAAATTCACAAATATGACACGATCTGAGCGCAAATTCACTAACTGAATAGCATTGTTTATATTACTGTCAAAATGAATCAATTTTAAAATCTTATTCAATGTTTTTTCTTTAAGATGCTAGAAAATTTTTGAAGCTAAAGGATAGAATCTGCCGCTCTAAAATGAGCTCCGTCTACACATGCCTTAATGTTACACACACAGTACATGAGTCTATAGAAATCTAAAACATCTAAACACACAAAGTTCCTGATACAGATATAAAGTGTGAGTGTTATTTCAACACCACTCAGGTAGCTCAATCATTCAAACTGAACAGCTTTCTATTGAAAAAAAGTTTCGCTTTCCTCTTCTCTCTCTATCTAAAGATGGTACAGCACAGAGGGAGGCCAGTTAAACGAATGAAACCTGAGTTATATTCCCTCTAATGAATCCTAAAAAACCACCATACTTTAACAACTAAAACAGTGCACTATTATGCTGAAAGATAAATTACAGTAGTTATTTTAGAGTTTGAGTGAATATGTACATACAACAGATATGTAGTTCCACAGTTTATCCTGCATTTGTAGATAACCTCAAGGCGTTTTTCACTGTTAAATGGCCTTGGTTCACTGCCCCTGCTAGTTAACCACAAAAACAGCTACTCAAAAGTACTAAAAACAAATCTGTTCTTATTTTTCCTCCTTCTTAACAGCTTTTTCAATTTTCAAAGAAACGGAACGTTATTTTCTAAACCTCTCACAGGTTAAAAGTTAAGACCTGCGGAGATCTCCCCGAATGTTTCTCTTTCAAGCTGAAAGCTCAAATGGATGGGGTGAAGACACAGCACCTAACAGTAATGGCTGCTTCTCCTCGTTACATCTGAGGGCGGAGAATTGGAACGTCTTCTCAATGTCAGCCATCCGCATCCTCAACCTCATCTTCCTCCTTCCACCTCAGGGCTTTTCCGCCCAGGCTCTCTCCGGAGGGAACGTTGCCGCATGGGCCCTAAAGAAAGCTACCTGCCTCTTGGGCTGTTAAACCAACGACACAATGTCACAGAAGGTCATCGTAGTCGAGAAGTTTGGAGTGCTGGCGGCTCTTCCACAAGCGGTAGAGGCGGAAATCGAAGTACATCTCGATCATCTCCTTACCTGAGTGTGGAGAGAGCACAACATTTTTAGCTCTCCTTAAAATATCTGACCATAAAATAACAGGCAGCATGCCACACATCTACCGTACCATCTGCTGAGTAAAATAACATTAGGAGGCCTTCATAGGCATTTGTGGGTGTTTTAAATACAGTTCTCTATTTAAAACAGTGGTAATTATCCTCAACAGTGCGAATCAAGCTGTGTAGAGTCCATAGGGGACAAAAGGAGATGGAAGAGGAGGGAGGGGGGCAAGAGTGCCTCCTCCTGGGTCCAATGAAGAGACAGAAACAGTGGGGGAGGATAATGAGGTTTTAATTGGAGAACAATTACGGTCAAATCAATAGCTGTGGCATGGATGAGAGTTGGGGTCAGAGTTCACGTGGCACATGCACGTTTGTTGAAATGCATGTTTACTGTATGTGTGTCAGAATATGTGATTGGTCATGTCTGTAGTGTGTGTGTGATTGAGTGAGTGTGTGCGCAGTACACTTACCCTGAGCTGACAGTTCCAGAGGAGACTTAAACTCAATGGCATGAGGTTTCATCAGTCTCTTGAGGTTTTGAAAAAGCTGAGGACGAGAGAAAGTTTTGCTGTTTCACTACTTTTCACAGTTCAAACTGGCAAAAGACCATCAGTATTACTTACAATATTCCCAATCAGAAACAGATATTGCAGATATATTTACAGCTTTTTCAATAATTAATACCAATATTCAGTACTGATACCAATATTCAGATAGCAGAGGGGTTGATAAATATATAAACCATATATTTGATGCATAACATCAGGTAATAAATGCAAATGGGATATACACAAAATTATTTGATTATTTTATTTGATTATATACACACAACATTTAATATTATAAATAAAAATAATAGTAATTATTATGATCATTACTGGAAAAACATAAATATTGTGTGTGTATATATAACAACAACAATGATAAGTATTCAATAATAATAATAACTTTACTGTTTTAACAAAAATATATTTTAAAGGGGTCATATGATGCTGCTAAAAAGAACATTATTTTGTGTATTTGGTGTAATGAAATGTGTTTATGCGGTTTAAAGTTCAAAAAACACATTATTTTCCACATACTGTACATTATTGTTTCTCCTCTATGCCCCGCCTTTTTGAAACGCGTCGATTTTTACAAAGCTCATCGGTCTGAAAAAGCGAGGGGTGCTGTGATTGGCCAGCTATCCAATGCGTTGTGATATTACAATTATTACAGTTATTATTATTGTGTATATAAAGCAATAATAACAATACCAAGTATTTAATAATAGCAATAATTGTTTCAACTAATTTATTTGTCTGTACATTTCAAAATATCCAAAAATCAGTCTTATAACTGCTATAAAAATCTATAACTATTTACAGCTAAAGCAAACTCTTTTTCAATTTTGATCTACTTGATAATCTGATTGACTGCTAATAGGAGCCATACAGCGATGAATGTGCATCATAAACCAGAGGAAGCTGAACAGGGCGACCTGTGGTGCATTAAAGTGAGTGTTCTGTGGTTCTGTGATTGACCTCCGCTAGAGGGGGTCTGGTAGTGTCAATGAGAATCCTTCATATCAGGACAAAGCCTGTCAGAGTGCATTAATTGCCTCCTGCTATTCCCCTCCCAATCCTTCGACTTCTGTTTCTCTGGTCGCTGTCAGTATAATCTCTCATCTGGGCATCTTTTCTAGAAGCTATTCTCCACCTCTCTAATCGATCATGAAAGTCCCAGAAAGCCTCATGAATCCACGCTCAGCTAATTAATCTCTTTCCATTGTAGTGAAGCAAGGGGTCTCTGGCTCTTCAGGCCATTTCCTCTTTCCTCTTTCATCGTGATACACACATATGACACAACTGTGAAAATCATAATAATTAACAGCATATTAGCAGCTGAAATCAAATTAACAACAGCAAAAGCAGGACTCATGAGGAACTGGCTCAAACTCACGGTATTGATGATGCTCAGCAAATTAGTCTCTTCCCTTTATTCAGTATAATATTACATGTGCTCAGGCAGTCGTTACAACCTTATTAGCTTTCTGGTATAGAACACACAAGACATATGGCCAGCTGCTGCTGCCTTGGCATAGCTAATAGAAAACAAATCACAGAGACAGTGTATTACGGTTATCTGATTCTAACACAACCACCAAAGCGCACACACGGAGAAAGAAAAAAAAATCACTCTTTTGAAATGGATCTTTTAAATGAATTTGATCCAGGTCATAAAAACAGTCTGAATGATTTGTTTACAGACTCGCATGGCCTACTTATGACACTTTTGTGGTGCTTTTGTATCCTTTGTGAATTGTTGTCTATTGCATGGAAATGCATACAATATTTAAATTTCAGACGGGCTTGGAATGACATGAGGGTGAGTAAATGATGATAGCATTTCAATTTATGCAGGAATATTCCCTTAAATGCAAAAAGAAGGCATAGAGCTGTTGGGTTTCTCGGTGCACCTGGTCAGGCTCTATATATAGCAAGTTCACTCAAGCTCTTTCTCTCCCCTTCAGAAGTAGCAGGACAGTGCTGAGAGGACCATAGAGGAAAATTGCTAAATGCAGCGAAAAAGCCTCTATGTTTCTTTTTTTCGCTTTACTTCAGTTATTTTCTCTCTGTAGATCTGTCTGCATAAACCACCTGGATGAAATGTTCATGTGGCAGAAATTCTAAGAGACTCTAGTTTCGTGCATGGTCATGCGTACTTCAATCAGGGACTGTGTGCACTTCAATCAAGAGACTGCATCCAAATTTGTTTACAAAGTGTCTGTCATACAGGTGCACCACAGTGCTGTCAATGTTCAGCATAATGCTGCTGCAGAATATTAACTCTGCTTAAAAATATCTTGTGTGACTTACATCTAGGAATACTTTGCATATAGATGTGGAAAGAGAGGACAGAAAACTGGAAATTTTCAGTGATCAAAACGTGTGTTGGAGACATTACTGCACTATTTACACTCATAAATATGCATATATGCACTCCTTTATCATTCAAAACAGTGAATGTCACATGCGAGTGCAACATCGGTTTATGTGCCTATGATTCATACATGATCTCACAGTCATGAAGCTTCCCGAATTATGAAAACAACAAGTTGAAATTTTATCTGACCATTCAGACGGCAACATATTTACAAAAATCAGATTTTAATCTGATCTCAAACCAAGTGGAGATGTGGCTTGGATCAGATTTGTCTGTATTTTGGACGTCACAATAAAGTATCACTGTATTCTTTGAAAAATCTTGAAGTAAATACCATGGTAATCATCCAATACCAAGGTAATGCCATAGTACTTTTCTGTGTGAATGGTTATATATATACAGTTAGAATTGTAGGATATAAACTCAGAATTCTGACTTTTTTTGTACAATTCCAAGTTTACATCTCACAATTCTGAGTTTATTTCTTGTAATCCAAAACGTTTTTCTCAGAATACTGAGTTTACATCTCACAGTTGCTGTTTTTTTTTTACCCCCACAGAATAACAAAAATAAAAATATAAGCGACGTTTTCCATCTCAAAATTATTTAATTTTCTTCTCAGTATTGTGAGTTTGTCGCAACTGCAAGTTAACATCTCACAATTCTCACAATACTCAGAACTGCGAGAAAAAAGTCTGAATTGTGAGATAAAAAGTCACAATTACCTATTAGTTACAAGCCCACATCCAGATTGGCACAGTTGAATACATGTCCAGAGCTGTAGTGGCCAGAGGCAGTCTGTATGTGCCGCTGAGTGTGTGTACGTGTTAGAGTGTGTGTGTGTGTGAGAGTATATGCGGCAGAGAGGGGCGGGGGCGGCAGGGTGACAGACTGTCTATCTGTCAGTCACAGAGCAGTTGCTTGTCAATCTGGCACCCTCATCTCCTGCCATCATATCCCTGCCTGACCGTGAACACACTCCCACCTGTCTTCCTCTGTTTCTTAATCACACACCTGCCACAGCATGAAAGTAAGAGGCTGTACAGTAGTGTCAGCTCTGCAAGTGTGCTAAAATCCATAAATTACTATTAGCATAAAGGATATGACTGTATATATAAACTATGAACATAGTCTTTCTATATATACTGAAAACTCCCATCCCCCCCATTTCTCACTCATAATTTCCTGTCTTGTCTTTATGACAAAAAGCCTATGGCATAAAACATGGGTTGAAACACACATGGAGGTGAGCAGATATGATTATCTACCTTTTCTCCGTTAGCATTGCCGAGCACATAGCAGCCCATAATATGGATGAGGTTGGGCTCAGGATTTAATAAACTCATGAATCTGCCGAGTCTCTTCCAGAACCTGCAAACAAAAGCTCAGAATGATTACAAAGTACGGCTACACAGTTCTTCATATTGTAATCACAATTCATTTCATTTAATTGAACTGAAATATATAATATTTATTTTGTGCGGGGAAGCGAATGCCATCTTTTGGTAGTCTACACATCCAAAATGATCTGAGCTGTGATCTTGAATGATTTATTTCTGTTTTATTCATTAGTAAATGAAGAGTGTCTTAACAGTGTCCTCTCTGCAGCATGAAAAACAAAAACATTATTCAAATTCTGAATAAATTATATATAAGACCACGAAAATACTAGAACATACTCATATTAATCACTGAAGCTGTCACTGCACGTATATATAGCTTCGCACAACTATTCGAGCCATGCAGTTCAACATAAGCTCATTGACTTGAGTCCTTCACCATTATAGTCAATGAATCTGTCTACACTATAAAGTAAATCCCTTATTTACACCATGTATTGTGGATTGTTGATAATTATGTGAACATTCTAGTTGTGTTGCATGTTGTTAGAAGCAAAATTTGAAGCAACAGGAGTATCTAAAAGGCAATTAAAAAGTGTTAAAAAGGTGACAAAGATGTGACTCCCCTGAAGAGGTGGGGGGGGGGTGAACTTTAAAATGTGGGCTGACAGTAAATTTTCGCATGAACATATAGGGAAAAACTCACATCCAAAATGATCTGAGCTGTGATCTTGAATTATTTATTCAGCAGTAAATAAAGTGTCTTAACAGCGTCCTCTTTGCAACATGAAAAACAAAACCATCATTCAAATTTTGAATAAATTATATATAGCACAGACCACCTGGAACATTCTCATAATAATCACTGAAGCTGTCACTGCACGTTTATATAGCTTCACACAACTATTTGAGCCATACAGTTCAACTCAAGCTCACTGACTCACCATTATAATCAATGAATCGGTCTACACTGCACAGTAAATCCCGTATTTACACTGTGTATTGCAGATTGATCACTATTATGTAAACATTCTAGTTGTGTTGCATGTTGTTTGAAGCAAAAGGAGTAAATCTAAAAGGCAATTTTTCACATTTAATTATTAATTGCAGGAGCCACCATCATAGTCTCACATTTTTTATGAATTGTGCAGCACAATTACAAATAGAACAAAAAGAAACAGATATGATAGGCTGCACTTTGTTTTGTGAAGGTGAACACTCACTGTATCATGTCCTCCTCCTTCTCTACTTTAGCAAATGTGGCCACTTTGTTCTTCAAAAGGTAGAGATGACCTGGACCTCCCTGGAGAATACAGAGAGCCAATTTACGCAGTGCAAAATAACATGTACATAAATACACCACATGGAGACTTGTGAAATAGCGAGATATGCAAATAATCACACACATATTTTTTCAAACCTGACAGAAGATGAGCATGTTCCAGATTTTGCAGCCTTTTCTGTAGGCGGTGAGTTTCTTTTCAATCTCCTCTGAAGAGCAGAGAGAAGAGAAGACAGATAGCAGAGAGGTGGAGAGAGAGGCAGCAAGGGAATCATATGAAATTACAGCCCAGCTTTTTCATAGTAAACAAACAGCAGGAGCAAACATCAGGCATACGCAAAAAAAAAAAATAATAATTTGGCCAATTAACGCGTACCTAGTATATCATCAAAGGTGGCATGCTCATGATCCTGTGGGCAGAAAACAGGGCATGAATTAATGAAGTTCTGCGACAGGAATTATCAGCTGGTAAATATTACATTGCATTTTTATTTGAACATAATTCAAGCATAATATAAGCACTACATCGCTAGCTCAGCATTACAAAGCCGCAATTCAAACAACGATGATTTACACTACTAAAACTTGCATGCGAGAGCTGACTGGTAGACATCATTAGCTGTGATTAACACGAGGGGCTTTATACTGGATAATCAAACTTTGATTCTCTTTGATCCCATGTATGACTGCATCATTAAATTATACTCACATAGAGAATGGGGATTATGGAGGGGTCGTCCCGACGGATGATGTTGGGAACGTATTCGGCCTTTGGTACTTTTGATGAAATTAGCTGTTCAAAAACAAGGATGAATAATACACACTCTTATTAATGAGCCCATCGATGATCAAACAGCTGCGCTACATGTAATGAGGATCTGGCGATGAGTTCATAAAAAGGCAGTTGGCTCGTGTCAAAATGGTTGAAAGATGCATGTACCATGATTTTGGGTGGGATGAAGTCATCGCCCTCACAAGCTGCTCTTTCCGACTCTCTCTCTTCCTCCCAGTCGACATCATCGCAGTCTTCTTCATCCAGATTGCCAGACGATGCCTGGAGGTCTCCACCTGGGGAAGAGGGTATATGCAGATACACAGAAACACAACACAAGCACATAAACAACCAATGAGATGTCAGGTCCTATCAACAAGCATTCTGTGGCTCACGTCTGAGAGGTTAGTCGTCCTAACATAACCTTTCTCGCTTGTTTATGAGAAGATCTTACACAACAGCAACACGTTTAGTGATATAGGAAAGCACACATATAGACAGCAGAGTACATCCATGGTAAACTGAGATTTTACACATACGCACAGGTGCTGAAGTGTGATGAACTGCACAATGTGCAAATCTTATGAAGCCTTTAAAGAAAATATCATATTCAGATTTTGTTTTACTTTTTTTTTTTATTTTAAGGACATCAGATTCCACCATTACAAATTGCATTGCCATAATACAAAAAATATTTAATCTATATTATATTAATATAATATTAATATTAAATTATTATAAAATTAATAAATAACATTTGGGGTTTTATTCAGTAAGGATGAATTAAATTGATTAAAATTGACAGTAAAGACACAATGTTACAGAAGATTTCTATTTTAAATAAATGTCATTCTTTTGAACTTTCTAATCCTCAAAGAATCCAGACAAATCACATTTTCCACAGAATATTAAACAGCACAACTATAATAATAATAAATGTTTCTTGAGCACCAAATCAGCATATTAGAATGATTTCTGAAGGTTCATGTGACACTGACACTCGAGTAATGGCATCATTATAGGAATAAATTACATTTTAAAATGTATTTAAATAGTAAACAGTTACTTTAAATTGCAATAATATTTCACAATACTAGCATTTTACTGTATTTTGGATCAAATAAATGCAGCATTGGTGAGCATAAGCAAATGAGACAGACAACAATATTTTAAAAATGTACCAAACATTTGAATGGTAGCATATTTAAAAATACAATCGTGATAATACCTCTTTTACTTCTTTTAAAGTTACTTTTAAGGCAAGTCAGTCTAACCTCTTTTCACTTCAATGGATAAAGACAGAAATCTCTGAATCTGTCTGTCAATGTTATGTTTAAACAAGGCAGAGATATCATCTTAACAGGCATCGTAAGATTAACCCATGTATGAGTGTTTTGTGTGAGTGACCAATCATGTTCATGTACTGAAATCAGAAAACGAGACAACATGTCTGTGTATGTGTGTGGACTCACTGTCTCTGGAGTCATGGAGAGAGTCAGGCTTGACGGGTGTGGGGTCACTCCAGGACCGGCTGAAACTCTTCGTATTCCGATCAGCAAATGCTAATAACGAAGCGGAGGAGGAAAGCATCACACGCACTGCTCTTCATCAGACACACACACACTCTAGGCTCTTGTCTGAGGTTGACATGTTTGAGGATTTCTCCGTTTTAGGCTGACTAGCTCTAAAAAATACTGTAACTGTATACTGTTATTGATAAGAGGGGAGGCAAATTATTCAGAAACTAAATCACATCGCTAGTTGTACATCAGACAAGAGCACCAAATGGTTTTGTTTTCATCCTTTTTACCAGATGCCTGAAGCATCTGTAACCCCTGAAAATAATTCATCTGACACCATGAATTATTGTCAAGCAATGGCATGTTTGCGTATTTACATTAAAAAAATTGCACAAATATACAGATGAAATCAGACAAACGTATTAACAACATACACACAACCATACATAAGCATTAACATACTCATTCACTCACTCACACAAACACACAGACATCTGCAAACAACTCACTCTGGGCCTTCACTCTCCTGCTGCCCACCATCCTCAGGTGTTTCCGGAAGTTCCTGGGATAGAAAGGATTTGCAGAAGCACAGTGGATTGGAAAAAAGGTATAAGACAAGAAGGGAAAAGCACAAGAAAAATGGGAGATGGAGAAAGAGGAGACAAAAATGGCAATCCGTTTATACATGGTAGTATTAGCATGGCTGATTATGGATGGGGATGAGTGTTTGAAGTTATACAACAAGCTCAGTGCACTCCAAACAAATCTCCAGTCTTCACAGTTCCTCTGTAATAAACAGGCATAAATAAACAGTTTGTCCCAGTCTGACACTGCTTCAGGCTTCAGAAACATAACATTTATTCATCTGTGGGTCTGTATTTCCAGATATTTTCATTACTGTATTCTCAAGCACACTGTCTGAGCTATTAGCTTGAAGTCACCATGAAATCCAAATTGACAATCCTTATTTACTATGGAATATTGCAGTGTTTATTATAAATTATTTATCAGTGCACATCATTATTTTTTTTAAAACCATACGCCCTCGTAATCTTTAATCAAAATAACTTCCTCTCCTCCTTGCAATTACATCGCTACTCTTCTCTGATGAAATTTTCACTGGCGTGAAATAGGGGCTGTAATTTCTTTCTTCCACCAACTTGTCACTCACATGAGAATGCAACAATTAGCAAACAACAATGATCCAACAAACCAATCAATTACTGGTGGACAAAATCAAGTCCCGCCCTACATTACGTCTTGTTCTAGAAGCCAGATATACATCACATCTATTTTATGCAGATTTCAAATGAACATAATAGAAAACTGATTTTTTTTTTTATCTGAATTTAGTATGTTTCAAGTATTTTTTCCACTAAAAGTTTTACAACTATAGAAGTAAACAGTATTTTTTGAATATGTTCATATTTACTTTTGAATGATGAACAAACATGAGAAATGACTCCTGTTTATTCTACATAAGACAGGTCACCACCAGCAAGGCCATCCTTTTGAGAGCACAGGTTCTCAAATACTACTCTATACTTAAAAAAAAAAAAAAAAAAAAGGATAAGGTTTTTTTTTTTCCTTGCACTGGTAACCAAAACCATTTGATTTTGTGTGATGTTATATCTATGTAGATGAATATCAGTATAAACACTCTATTAGCCAGGGAAACAGAGAAAATGACTTTGAACCTTAAAGGGATAGTTCACCCAAAAATGAAAATGACCCCATGATTTACTCACCCTCAAGCCATCCTAGGTGTATATAACTTTCTTCAAACAGAGTTATATTAAAAAATGTCTTGCCTCTTCCAATGGCAGTGAATGGGGTTCAAGATTTTGAAGCCCAAAAAACTGCATCCATACATCATAAAAAGTGCTCCACGCGGCTTGGGGGGATTAAAAAAGGCTTTCTGAAGTGGATCGATGCTTTTGTGTAACAAAAATATCCTTATTTAAAACTTTATAAATAAACGTTATACTTTAGCTTCTGCTAACTGTCGTATGCACATTCACGAGAGAGTGGCATATCTCTGTGGCACAGATTAATATGCTAATCTCGCAAGAACCAAGTTTTGTTTACAGCAAAGAAAAAACAGTCTCCTCTTAATTTATATCAAAATCCTCTTACATTTTTCTTTACAAGTCCTCGTTTTGTACTTTTAATTTGTGACCGGAGTTTTGTTTTGTTTTCTCCTCTGCGTTTGTCTACATCCTACATCTTCCGCTGGAACGCCACTCTCTCATGAATGCGAGTACAACGTGAGTTATTGGAAGCTAGAGAACACGGTTTGTAAAGTTATAAAGATGGATATTTTTCCTACACAAACACATCAATTCACTTTAGAAGGCAATTATTAACCCCCCGGAGCCGCGTGGAGTACTTTTTATAATGTATCTTCAAAATCAGCCTTCAAAACCTTAAACCCCTTTCACTGCCATTATAAAGCTTGGAAGAGCCAGGACATTTTTTTATGTAATTTTGATTGTATTTGTCTGAAAGAAGAAAGTCATATACACCTAGGATGGCTTGAGGGTGAGTAAATCATGGGGTAATTTTCATTTTTGGGTGAACTATCCCTTTAAATTTCACTTATAGGTAGGTGTTTCACTGCTGCTAAAGCATATCACAGTAAAACTGGCAAACAATTTGTATAATCTTGTAGAAAGTACAAAAAATGCTATCACTGTGCTTCACCAAATCATTAAGAATTTGAATAATCTTCTAAAAAGTGCAAAAATGCTTTCATTTTATGTACTAATTCATTACTGCAGTTTCAAACCAGAAATACCAGAAAATCAGTCACAGAAAATTGACCACTACAAACATCCTCATCAGAGAATGAAAGCAAGTTCAGTTGACCCACTCTTTCAACTGACAGCCTCTCTCCTCTCGTTAGCACTCAACACTTGTTCTCCACGCATCATGTCACCATGGTTACACTGTAGTGTAGTATAGTAGGAGAGTGTGCTGTGGAGAGGTGGGTGGTCTTTCCTCATTTGCCAACAAATAATAGAGCAGCTCACACAGTCAATGCAGAGCCTTTAAAATAAATGAGAGCTGGGCTAGGGATGAAATTATGAGGCAATGGCTTTTACAAAATGCAAAATCCAAAACTGATGGCCACAGTGTCATATTTCCCACAGTCAATATCTTACCGTTAGCATTTTTTCTGCAGGCATAATGCAGTTGCACAACACCACAATATTAGAAAGCAGCACTGCTGCCTAAGTTAGTTAAATATACTGTGAGAAAACGAATCTTCCTGCAGTACAGTGATGCATAGCAGAGGACATTTTTTACAGTATGTAGCCGCCATGAGCCTCTAATCAAATCCACCAACGTGAACATTTTACAAAAGAGAAGTGGGCTTTTTTTAATATCGCTTTTATATTTGAGATGCTTACAAAGAGCACGTTGACAATGCATCTGTATAGTTGTCAGACCTGCTTTTCTCCTTATGTCCGTCTTGCTGACATGCTTCTAAACTGCTGTCAAAGTCAATGTGCCGGCTGACAAAGAAGGAGTGCAGATCTTCATCCAGTTTCAAAAATAGAAGTGCATATCAAGAGAACTATGTCTTTTCAGCAGGCCATTTTTAATTAAACGCTCTAATGATCTTAATCCTCATTTGTGAGCGTGCTGAAAATAGAGCGATAAGTCAGATCACCAGAGTGTGACATGTTGATCCTCACAGAGATATATATATAGCCTATATATTTGTTCCTTTTTATGCAAAGAATAAAATATCACATATTTCTTAAGAAGCACAGCCATTTAATGGCTACATCAGAAACAGCTTCTATGAAACAACTCATCAGAAGATCTAGTGCATGTTCCACTGTTTCCATCAGATAAAGAAACTCAGCATAATCCAAAATACTATGAGCTTCAAGAGATAGTTCACTCAAAAATTCAAAGTCTTTTATTATTAGTTCCATGCTCAGGGAACAGACCTGTAGATACTGGTTTTTAGAAACATCTTGGCCACTTCAAAATAATTAAAGTGAACGAGAACTGTCAAGTTCCCAAGTCACCATAAAAAAAATATCTGAAAAGTAGTCAAAATGACTCATTCACTTTATTTCAGATCTTTATTCAAGTTGTTCAATGAACATCTTGACATATGCTCTACCTCTCTTGGGTGCATTCGTGAGAAGTACAGCTATCTGATTTGTGAATTAATCATTCATTTGAATCATCTGATGCTATTCACAAAACTAAAATGATTTGTTCACTAATCAGACAGGTCCAATCCAACTGTGCAGTTAACTTACTGACTCAGTTATTCATAGTTGAAGCAAGTTAACAGGTCACTGGAGAGGAAGATTATTAGTAAATAAATCAACTTAAATGTTGGTATGTTTGTCACACAAAGCTGTTTATAATGCTTCAAAAACAGCACACAAGTCATATGGAAATAAATGGATTGTGATTCAATGTAATTGCATTGCACATTAGTTCTCTTTAGCAATTCAGAATCATGTTGAAAGAAGTTTTTGATGATCTGCCAGCAGACCAATTAGGATTTACCGGTGAACAAGTGTTTTTAAATATGTAAGCCAATTCGGCCTGGCGTAATGAGATTTGCTGTTGAGTTATTCATGGTGTTAGTGCTGCGTGACTCTAGACCGATAAGTGAAACTCTGAAAGTGTTCAGTTGTCAGCTGTATCGACTAACACACTCCAGGCACCGCACCTTTGGTTATTCGATTGGCCTATTGAACCAAGCAGCCAAACACAGACAGACACACACACATAAATATACACAAATGCTTTGTGTACGGGTCAAGGTTTTACCTTCATTCAAAGGCAGTAAAACCTGAAATCGCTGAGACCACAAAATGGCTTAATCAACATACATTTGTGTGAGTGTTAGGTGTCGAGGTCAGAAATATCAATGGCTCTGTTAAAATAAATAAATAAACACCCACTATGATAGAAAAATAAACGTGTCACCTCTGCCCCAGACAATAAGCCTACCCAGTAGAGTCTAAAAAAAAGTTAGTTTCTTGGTAACACATTTATTTAATAAATGAACAAAAAAAGGAAATTTTTGCTAGTGTTACAACATTAAATGAATAGCATATTGTTAGTCAGAAAGTTAGAAAATAGCAGTTAGAAATGTTAAGAAAATATATTTTTTTTTCTCCACTGACCCCTTAGTTTAAATCTAAAGAAGCTGGTTTCTGCTTCAGAGTAAAAATAAATAAATACATAAATATTGTGACTTCATTTTTATAATTGCAACTTTATTTCCTGTAATTGTGACTACACACTACCATTCACAATTTTGGTGTCGGAATGTTTAATGTTTTTGAAATAATTCTCTTATACAGACCAAAGCTGCATTTATTTGATCAAAAATACAGTAAAACAGTAATATTGCGAAATATTATGATTAATTCCATTTTAATATATTTTAATGTTCAATTTATTCCTGTGATTGGCAATCCTTCCTCTAGTCTTCAGTGTCACATGATCCTGCAAAAATCATTCTAGTACAGGTGCATCTCAATAAATTAGAATGTCGTGGAAAAGTTCATTTATTTCAGTAATTCAACTCAAATTGTGAAACTCTGAGTTTCACAATTTGAGCTGAAATAAATGAACTTTTCCACGACATTCTAATTTATTGAGATGCACCTGTATGCTGACTTGGGCTTTAAGAATCTTTTTTTTCTGTTGAAAAATCATTGTTTAATATTTAATGGAAGCTGCAACACATTTTTTTCCAGGATCCACTGATGAAAGTAAAGTTTAAAAGAATGCATTATTTTAAGGTTTTGTAAAGATATTAATTTCTTAAAAATTATAAAATAAAATCTTACTGGCACCAACATTCTGAATGGAAGTCTATATCTAACAATTGTGACTATTTCTTATCTTAAACTTTATCTCACAATAACCACCTTTATTGTTTACTCTGAAGTGGAAACCGGCTTTTGTAGAAATCTGTGGGTTTCGATCAATAAACTGCTGCTGGCTTTCTGCTTGGTAACCCTAGAATCATGACTCCACAGGGAAGTGTGCCATGAACGAAAAGCAGATCCTCATGTGTAGTGTGCAGGATTGGAGTGAGGACTTTAAAGGCAGAGTAAGCGATTTCTGGTAGCCAATGTTGATATTTGAAATCACCAAAACAAACACGCCCCTACCCCAAAAGGGTCTTGCCCCTATTTTGATAGCTCCGCCCCACATATACGTATGCAACCCAGGCAACCATTAATTCTGTGAAACAAAGCAAAACCAATGTTACACCATGTCTACGGACGTGAGCGGCGCGGCAAGGAAACTGCTGCCGGGTTTTATTTATGACGTGCTGACACAAATTTCAAATGGTTTTCAACGGTCGTTTGATCGCGTCCAGTGTAGGCAGACTTTAGCTGTTGTAGACACAGTGTTACTCACCTATTGAGAAGAAACAAAGCAACCTCGACGTCCGATCGCAGGCCTCCGCTCCTTGAGTTCTCTCCAGCGCTGGAAAGCTGATCCGATATTTACACGGGTCCTACTTCTTGCCTTATCCTTCCGCAGACGTTTTCCTCTTTTGTTTTTTATCCACCATCTCTATCTTTCTGTCGCTCGGCTCGGCTAATGTCCGTCCCATGCACTGAACGCGCTCTCCTCCACATCACGAGTAGACACGCCCCTTATTGCTGATTGGCTACAAGTTTGCTTTGCTATTCGGCCCGATTTAGTTTTCTAAAGTGTTTTTGAAAAATCACATACCCTGCCTTTAAAGATTCTGAGGGGATACACACACCATAATTCTACACTAACACAGGACAACACAAAACACAAACACCATCTCTCCACTGTCTCGTTCTACATGTGTGTGTTGAGGGAAGGGCTGTGACACAGGGCACGGGGCATTAGACAGTACCTCTCCATCAATGCGGTGGCCTCTTGCTCTCTTTTCCTCCTCTTTCTCTCTGCGATTCCACGGAATGCCCTGCTGGGACCGGTCACAGTGTTACAGGTTGTGGGTGTAGGTGTGTGTGCACAGAGAGCAGTGCGCGGGGAAAAAATCTAGAGTGGCTAGGACGGTTCAAACCACAACAGGTGATCACCACCCACAGGTCAACGGGACACTACAGGCACGTACACACACTAAACACTACGACCACAGTGAAGTCAAGTGTAACAGACACTCAGTCACCAACCAGCACAGAGGATGAATTCACAGAAACCTATAACATCTTTGTGGGAGTGGTTATCATATCTGCTGTGCATCTATTGTTTTTCACAGGGTGACAGAAGGTACAGCCATCATTACTGACAGCTGATGTTAAATCAAACCCCTGTCCTCAGCAGATGAGGTTAATGACAGCCCAGAAGCTACGTTCAGACAGTGTGTGTGTGTGCATGTAATTGCATGTCGATGCATCCTGAAATCCTTCAGAGCCTTGACAGACTGGCGACGGTCTTGGAACACTGCGTGATGAGTGACTTTTCTGGGCTATATTCGGGCTATATTTATATATTTCATGTGCAATATTCAACACAGTGATGGCAGCAATTACCATATTCAATGGCCAGTCTACCATTTTGTCATATTTTTTAAAATATACCTTGCATTATAGTCAAAACACAAGCTCGGTTCCAAAATCTAGTCAACTGTCTACCTAGATCTTATTTTAGGAAATCGTAGGCAGACTCCTGACATGAAGGTTATTCCTAAAGGTAGGTAGATAAATTTTTCTGCTCTCTTACACCTTGTTTGTAAGATACAGTTTAAGACAGCATTGCAAATGGAGATTTTGACGATAGTTTATTCAATATCAAAACTTCATAATTGTATTATTTTATGTAATTAAAAATGTATGTTATTTTTATTTGTGTGCTCCAGGTGATTTAGACACTACAGTATCATTTTTGTAACTTAGCATGCATGAAAAGGTTTTATGTAATGGTGTTATTTTGCATTTCTTTCAAACATACAGTATTTACAATAAATGAGAAAAACGTAGTATGCTAGTATGGTATTTTGAATTCAAACTTAGTCAAGTTCACCTGTACTTGAGCTAAAGCATCAACATACTGCGGTCTGATTCCTGTCCTTTTATTTTTACTATTAAAAATGCTTTTCAACAGGAGTTGAGTCTCCTGTGAGCTTTAAGTGCCATCTATGTGGCATTCAGAGTTGCCTATGAAGAACGTTCCAGATCAGTCACTTACGAGCAAGCCAGTAAATCTCAATAAATCTCAGTAAATCAAGCCAGTCGGTTTTGGAATAGAGCTTTTGTAACTAAAACCCAGAAAACTTCAAAGGTCAAGTCATCATAGTAGTACAACAAACAGGCAGTTCTTGAAACGTGATTAGTGACACCGGTCCAAATGAATCACACTTGGTATATCGTGAGCAGTATATGTGCTGTGTGAGACGGAGTTCCTTCATAACTTCAAACACTCTGTCTAATGCTGGTGGAGTGAGAGTTAACACAGGACAGGAGAGGCAGCAGCACAGAGGAGCAGAGGGTGGGGATGGAGTGATATGTTGAGTTTTTAAAACAGTGGGCTAATGAGCAAGGTATACTCACGATATTCTTTGGAGCCAAGGAAAAATGCATAATAAAGAAGATAAAAAGAGGAAAGAGAGAGCAAGTGCTTTAACCATCACAAGAAAACACATGAAAAGCAAGTAAAAAGGTAAGGTATGCAGGAAATACAGTGTTTTTCAAATATAAACACTGGATCGGGTCTTATGAAAGGATCACCAAACGCTTTATCACTACCTATTACAGTCAATTATCACAAAAAGTGGCAGCTCTACAGCCGACCACAGGATAAGACACTGACATTTCACACAAATTGAAAGGATTCTGAAGTGAAAGTGTCAATTAGACCCAGCAAAAAGGGGAATTAATAAGTCAGAAGAGAAAGTGAATTAAAGGGATAGTTCACCCAAAAATGAAAAGTTGATGTTTATCTGCTTACGCCCAGGGCATCCAAAATGTAGGTGACTTTGTTTCTTCAGTAGAACACAAACAAAGATTTTTAACTCAAACCATTGCAGTCTGTCAGTCATATAAAGGTAAGTGAATGGGAATCACGGCTTTGAGAGTCAAAAAAACATACACAAACAAAACCAAATTAAACCCTGCGGCTCGTGACGATACATTGATGTGTAAAGACACGAAACGATCGGTCTGTGCAAGAAACTGTACAGTATTTATATATTTTAGACGTGACGCGTCTTCTTCTTCTTCTTGCTTTATGGCAGATCGCAGATAGCCAAAGTATAGCAAAAGAGATAGCAAAGTATTCATAGACAGAAAGAGGGATACAGTGTGAGGTGAAAGCCAAGGAGAACTGACACCAGATGATGAGGTGGGAGGGCACAGTGAGGTTGAGGGGGAGACAACAACCATGTCGGCTGGAGGGAGGAGGACTGC